AACTCCCACAATAATATTGCCAGAAGACAAACTAATGTACCTAATTTATTCATATCACAGAGTTTGGGTTATCTTACTACAGAATTAACAGGAGCTGTTGAAAGGGAGGGGAAGGGGTGCAGAGTCTCGGGGTCCGGTCCATGGACTTAGGTATCTCTGGTGAGCCCAATGAGAAAGGTGGCCCCTCAGTCCTGAAAGGGCTCCCCAGAAACAAGTGGGGTGCACTATGAAGGCCACCCAGTGCCTTTCCAAGGAACATCTGCTGGTCTTTTACATCTCAAGGTTCAGCCCTGTTTCTTCTACATTTGGGGGACTCTAATCAAGAGAAGAGGCCTGGGTGTCCTCTCCCTCCACTACAAACTGGGGACCTTCCAGACACATCGAATAATCCCAAGTCAGGAGATTTTCTTTGAAAAGGTTTCGCTTCTCATCCAGGAAGATTCTTCAGTTCTAACCGAATGGTGGGGAAAATGGAAGGATTTATATTCCTTGCTGTCATCTGGTTCTTTCTGAGAGTTGTTGAGGCCACTTGGAAGTTTATCTGTGCAAATGGGTGTAGAAATTTCTTGGAACTGCTGAAAGGGACCGTGTTGTGGAGAGGGGTGGTGATGTATCCCTCCCCCTCTGTTGAGAGAGGGCTGTTCACTCTTCATTTGGATGGCCCCTTTGAGCCCCTCTTTCAAACCCGGGGTCTTCTCTGTCCAGAATGTGGACTTTGCTGTCTTCAAGAGTGATCCTTCAGATGCGGATGGACTGATGAAGCTTGTCCTGATGGGTTTCTTCACCTGCATTGTGCTATGTGTTTGTGAAGTGGTTGTTGTCAACGCTGCAAATACTGTATATTCTTGCTTTGACAATATGCAGAACTGTCTGGTATTTTTATAGTTAAACCAGGCAACAGGGAAAAAGGGAGGAGAATAAGGATAGCCCGGGAAAAAGAAACGGGAAGTAAACCACATCTTCCAAGTTGATTGGAAGATGTGAACCATGACCCCACAAATAAGGGGGAGGGGAAATGCTTAGAATGTATATGCGTAATGGAAGAGAAGCCAGATCTAAGCATTTCCACCATGCTGTACTGATGTCTCTGTAACCTTAATAAATGCTTTTAGGAAAAAATATGCCTGAAAGTCCTTTTAAGTGTTTCGTTAATCAGACACATGACAGTTGTTTTGTTTCCCCAATGAACAAGTCTGCACATGTCTCGCTGCACTGCACTGCGTATATCAATCGCCCAGTTTGCATCTGGGTGTTTTGTCCTTGGGGTGGGACAAGCTTCTGCCTTAATGGTTTGAAAGCTAGTGACCAACCCTCAAGAGACCAGATGACGCCACCAATCCATCAGAGCTGAAGAAGCTTCTTGGATGAGAAGAGAAACGTTTTCAAAGGAAAAAAACCAAGAAAGTCCAGTTGCCTTTTGGAAAAAGCACCTTTGGGACAACCGTGACATGGAGGATGGAGAATCTCCATAGACATTTAAGTACAGGGGTCTTCCCCTTCTGGTCTCACAATCTCAGGAAGGGTCCATGGAGAGACAGATGGGAGCAGCCGGCCTCCCGCTTCCAGCTGCCAAGGCCTTGGCTGTTGTGGTTATCACCAGCCTGTGCTTAGTCTTTGGTTGCTTGTCCTGGAGGGCAGGTGGCTTTTGGCCTGATCCTGCAACATGGTTCTTGGAAGGAAGAGGCAGTCAGGAGGCACAATGGGCAGCAAGGACAATCAGGCCTCCAAGGGCTTAAACCCCCATCCAGGAAAGGCAAGTAACTTTTCCTAGGGAGACATAAGCTTCTGGTCATAGAATGATGGCTTAGGAGTGGCCAGGATGTTGTGATCAAAATTCCACCATTTTTTATATGGAGTTTCAATCATACTGTTCTGGCTGTCATCTTGACTTTTTGACCATGCCCTGTGGACACTCCAGCAGAAATGGAAAAGTACAGATAGCCCTTGACTTTCAACCACAACGGAGGCCCAGATTTTAGTTGCTAATCGAGACATTCCTTAAGTGAGTTTGGCCCTATTTTACGACCTTTCTTGCCACAGTTGTTTTAAGTGGATCACCGCAGTTGTTAAGTGAGTAACACGGTTCTTAAGTGAATCTTTGCTTTCAGAAGTTGGCAAAAGAGGATCACGTGACCCCCGAGACCTGCAACCGTCATAAATATGAGTCAGTTGCCAAGTGTCTGTATTTTGATCGCGTGACCAGGGGGCTGTTGCAACGATCATGTGAAAAACAGCCATGAGTTAGTTTTTTCAACGCTGTTGTAGGAACAGTCACTAAACGAACTGTTGTAAGTTGAGGACTACCTGTATCTCAGATTTCCATTGGGGTTGTGGGGAGGCAGGTAAACCACCTAGAATTTCCTCTGATCCTCCCCATGACAATCAATCTTGCTAGAAAGGAGAAAGACTCCCCCCCCTCCTTAACTTCACCCGAGAATCAGCTGCTTCCCAATGAACCAGGGTTTTATTTTGATGCTGGCCTAGGCCAGGGCTAGGCAACCTTGGCTCTTTTATGACTTGTGGACTTCAACTCCCAGAATTCCTGAGCCAGCCATGCTGAGGGGAAAGGGAGAGGTTTCCATGCTGAGCCATGCTGGCTCAGGAATTCTGGGAGTTGAAGTCCACGAGTCATAAAAGAGCCAAGGTTGCCTATCCGTGGCCTAGGACAATGTTATGGCTTTGATCTGGAGTTCTTTTTCCCTTTGAACCCAACCAAATGGAAATTCTGCAAGGAGCTCAGGATCCCCGCTTCTCCACTTCTCCCACAAAACGAGAATGGCCACTGCAGGCAGGCAGGCTGCGGAGGGACTAAGCCAGGACCTCAGGCAGGGATTCACCAGCTGTTCACCCTGAGGTGTTGATGTTCAGGCAGGACCTGCACAACTAGCTGCCAGGCTCTTAGGATTAGCCGAACTGAGCCTCAACACTGGTAGTCCTTGACTTATGACCGCCACCGAGCCCAGAATTCAGGCTGCTAAGTGAGAAATTGGTTAAGTGAATTTTGCCCCCTTCCTTGCCTCAATTGTTAAGTGAATTAGTTAATAACATGGTTGTTGCATGAATCTGGCTTCCCCATTGACTTTGCTGGTCAGAAAGTCGCAAAAGGGGATCACGTGACCTTGGGACACAGCAACTGTCATAAGTACATGCCAGTTGCCGAGCATCTGAAGTTTGATCTCATGACCATGGGAACGCTGCAATGGTCGTTAAGTGTGAAAAACGGCCATTAGGCATTGTTTTCATTGCCGTTGTAACTTTGAAGGGTCACTAAATGAACTGTTGTAAGTCGAGGACTACCTGTACAGGAAGCCTGACCCCAGGGCCTACCCTGCCCCTTGGTTCTGAGATCCGAGGAACTTGGGGTTCCAATCTGCCCCCCTTTAATTGCCTGCAGATGATGGTTTGTAAGCCCTTCCCCCTCCCACCAATACTGTCAATGACTTCCCTAACATTTCAACCCCCTCCCCCCCAAGAGACTGGAGGAAGGGCTGGAAAATTAGAGGTAAATCATGTTGGGGGGTCCCTTTGATTCTTGGGTGCAAACAAACCCAAAGTGGGGGGGGGGCTTCACTGGCTGGCAACGCTGCTTCCCTGGTAGGCGGGCAACTTCTCGACCAGCAGGACAGGAGGTCCAAGGCTCAGCTCCAGGGCAGGTGCTCTCCGAAGGAAAAGCTATTCCTACTGAGAATTGAAAAAGTCATTTGGCTCCTCTGGATGGGATCAGCTCCTCCTGTATAGGCGAGGGAAGGGGGGGGGGACAAAATGCAACCGCTAAAGGTGGGCTGCCAGACTATGCCAGGGTTAGATTTGACATGGATGATTCCTCTTTAGGAGCAAGATTGGGCCAGCAGACACGTCTCAAATCCTGGGAACCACCTGGCCCCGCTTTCCTTCAGAAAACCTAGTGGCAAAGGAGCTCTTCAGCTGAAGACCAGTACACAAGTGCCAGAGAAGGGAAGGGGATGTAATGGGTGAAGCTGGTTCCCAGTCAGCCCCCCCCCCCCCAGAGAAGCTCCAGGATGAATGCCTTTGGGTCCCGTGGAGCCAAAACAATCCAGCATGCCGTGGCCTGATTTCCGTGGCCAGCCAGAAACCAGAGTCTGCAGTGATGCTGGCCTCGGTTTGTGTCTCTTGGTTGGCCACTCAAAGCCAGATAGCTGCTGACCTCCATCCATCTTGACCAGTCAGAAAACAGCTTGGCCTTGCTGGGCAGAGGAGAGAGGGCTGACGGATGCTCGTGTTTCGTTTCCAGATGCCGGAATGCTGTCAGAATCCCTTTAGAAGGTCAGAAACAAACAAACAAGCTGGAAAACCAAAGGGGAAACGGAAGGAACCTGGAGGCTGCTCTGGCATTTGGCTCCCCAGAGAGGATGCTAAAATCTGTGTGAAAAGGGGCCTCTCCCCCACTTCAGCCCACATTCTGTGCCCACCGGAGACTGCATGGACTGAGAGAGAGAGAGTGGAGGATCCGGAGCCCGGTGGGCGATTGTCCTCGCATGGGATGCAGCTCCCGAGGGGCCTCCGGCACTTTGGGGCAGCCAGTCCAGTGTGCGTCATGATGGCAAGTAGCTCCTTCCTTTGTTGCATCTAAGGAGGCACAATATTTGGCCTTCCCCTGTCTCCGCCCAACGGCCTCACATCAGTGGCTTCAGATGGATGGCGGCACTGTTGGGCCGGGCAGCGAGGATGTAAACCGTGCTTTCTCTCAAAAAGGCCGGCCAGGTGACGGTCCTGGGGTGGACAAAACAGGAGACAAACAGGGTGAGTGTCTCTGGAGAGTCATCCAGGCCATGGTTGTCCCAAAGGTGCTTTCTCCAAAAGACAACTAGACTTTCTTGTTTTGTTTTGTTTAAAAAAAAACAACAACGCTTCTCATCCAAGAAGCTTGGTGGGGAACTCAAGTCAGTTAGAAGTGAAGAAGTTTCTTGGATGAGAAGTGAAAAAAATTTGAAGAAAAAAACCAGTTGTCTTTTGGAAAAAAACACCTTTGGGACAACTGGAGATGAGATGAGGCTGGCTCCAGTCCCTCTGCCAAGCAGGGGCAAGACAGTGCCCAGTCTGAGTTATGCCCCATTGCTTGAGGCTAGGGACGCATGGCCAGAGCTGGGTCTGGCCTGGTGCCATCTGCTCTCTCTCTCTCTCTTTTAAAGAAAAGCATTTCACAAATGGTGCATCTATCAAACACTGACGATAACATACCAACCCCCCCCCCCAGGAGCATATCCTAAAAGGTAGATTTAAAAAAAAATAAAATAAACTTTTTAATGTTTTCTTTTGTTGGAAATTGTTCTACCAGACTCCTTAAGAATATCTGTAATTTAAGGAGAAATCAACAGCGAGTTCTGTCAGCGCACAACATGCCCCTCAATCAGAAAAGAGCTGAAAGGAACCTCGGAGGTCTTCTAGTCTAAACCACTGCTCAAGGAGGAGATCCTAGCTCAGGGGTAGGCAACCTTGGCTCTTTTATGACTTGTGGACTTCAACTCCCAGAATTCCTGAGCCAGCCAAGCTGAGTGGAAAGGGAGAGGTTTCCAAGCTGAGCCATGCTGGCTCAGGAATTCTGGGAGTTGAAGTCCACGAGTCATAAAAGAGCCAAGGTTACCTACCCCTGCAGCTAGACCATTCCAGACAAGTTCCTGTCCAGTTTTTTTTTAAAAAAAGCATCCACAACTTAGTAATAGTAATAGTAATAGTAATAGTAATAATAATAATAATAATAATAATAATAATAAAGTTGGAAGGGACCTTGGAGGTCATCTAGTCCAACCCCCTGCTCAGGCAGGAAACCCTATACTATTTCGGACAAATGGCTGTCCAGTTTCTTCTTAAAAACTTCCAGTGTTGGCGCGTTCACCGCTTCTGGAGGCAGGTTGTTCCACTGGTTAATTGTTCTAACTGTCAGGACGTTTCTCCTTAGTTCCAGGTTGCTTCTCTCCTTGATGAGTTTCCATCCGTTGCTTCTTGTCCTGCCTTCAGGTGCCTTGGAGAATAGCTTGACTCCCTCTTCTTTGGGGCAGCCCCTGAGATATTGGAAGGCTGCTATCATGTCACTCCTAGTCCTTCTTTTCTCTAGACTAGATATACCCAGCTCATGCAACTGTTCATTCTATGTTTCACCCTCCAGTCCCCTAATCATCTTTGTTGCTCTTCTCTGCACTCTTTCCAGAGTCTCAACATCTTTTTTGTATTGTGATGACCAAAACCAGATGCAGTATCCCAAGTGTGGTCTTAACAAGGCTTTGTAAAGCTATAGTAGAAGTTTAGGTGATCTTGAACCTATGCCTCTGTTTATACAACCAAGGATTGTGTTAGCTTTTTTGGCTGCTGCTGCACACAGCGGGGAGATGTGGTCAACTTGATTTGCAAGGTGGTCTTTAGATTTAAGAGTGTCTCCTTGGGGTAGATCTCAGTTAGATAAAGGCGTGGGATGTCCGCCTGATTGCTTAATGCAGTGGTTCTCAACCTTTTTAATGCCGCGACCCCAACCGGTCGTAAGTCGAGGACTAAACCGGTCGTAAGTCGAGGACTAAACCGGTCGTAAGTTGAGGACTACCCAACCAGTCGTAAGTCGAGGACTTTCCCTGCCCGGAAGCGCTGCGCATGTGTGGTTCCGCCCCCTGCGCCGGCCGAGGTGTAGCTGGCAAGTGGCAGAGACGGAGCAGGCCGACCACCAGCTGGCCCAGCCCAAGGGAGGTAAGGCACCCGCCGGAAATGGGGGAAAAATGGCGGACAAAAAAAATGGCGGACAAAAAAAATGGCGGACAGCCTTGCTTGGCGACCCCCATGAAATGGTCGATCGACCCCAAATGGGGTCCCGACCCACAGGTTGAGAACCACTGGCTTAATGTATCAATGGACAAACATGTGAGGGACACTTGTGGTAAGAGCAGAGGCGCATCGGTGGGGGTGCATGGATGACGCCATTTTGCTGGCTGGGAACATAAATCGTTTTTGCCCGGGCGTTGCCAAGAGGCGCAATCAGCTGAACAGTAATTTACCAAAGGACAATGTAGTTGTGTTAGACCAGGGGTCTTCAAACTTGGCCCTTTTATGACTTGTGGACTTCAACTCCCAGAATTCCTCAGCCAGCGTGTACGCTGGCTGAGGAATTCTGGGAGTTGAAGTCCACAAGTCATAAAAGGGCCAAGTTTGAAGACCCCTGTGTTAGATGGTGAAAATGGGAGGGAGCGACTGCGCATTTTACAGAAATGATGGGGAAGCACACCAAGAAAACGAATTTGTGGATCTTTGCATAAAACTTTAAAGACATGGAATTAGTGTAGAACATTAAAGGTGGAGAAACCCGTAGAGGCCAGTTAATCCGTTTATGCTGGTAGAAAAGTAATGTGTGGGATATGTCGGTTCTCCGGAGAGATTGCCAAAGAGAGCAAAAATGGCTGAGGACAGGCGTGGGCTTCTGCCTCCTGCGTTGCAGGGAGTCCTCGACTTACGACCACAATTAAGCCCACAATTTATGTTGCTAAGCGAGACAGATGTTAAGTGAATTTTGCCCCATTTTACGACCTTTCTTGCCACAGTTGTTAAGTGAGTCACTGCAGTCGTTAAGTTAATCAGACGGTTGTTAGGTGAGTGTGGCTTCCCCATCGACTTTGCTTGTCAGAAGGTCCCAAAAGGGGATCACGTGATCCCAGGACACGATCATAAAATACCAGCCAGTTGCCAAGTGCCTTAGTTTTGATCATGGGGATGCTGCAACGGTAATAAGTGTGAAAAACGGTTCTAAGTTACTTTTATAACTTTGAACGGTCATTAAATGAACTGTAATAAGTCGAGGACTACCTACAGAAAAAAGCAATTCATTAGATCAGGGCTTTTCAACCAGTGGTACGGGTACCACTTGTGGTACATTGGCACCTGGCAGGTGGTACGCGACCATCCTAGAAAAGTGGTAGCGGGGGAGGGGAATGAGCTGAACTGGTGGCAGCACCGCACAAGCCTGAGCGAGAGACGGCTGGAGCTGCAGGGCTGTCAGGGCTCAGCGGAAGCGCCAGGATCAGCACTTCTTCGGGACTGTCAAGGCTCAGCGGAAGCGCCAGGATCAGTGCCACGCTCCAGCTGGAGCTCGGCGCTGATCCTGGCACTTCTGCTGAGCCCAGAAGAAGCGCCGATCAGCTGGAATGTTGCAGCATCTCCAGGGTCTTGTGATTTACTTTCAGATGCTTGGCAACTGATTCATATTTATGGCAGTCACAGTGTCCCAGGGTCATGTGAAGTAACCAAAACCTGCTGCAACCACCCAGCGGGGGGGGGGAATAAAAACCAAACACCCACCCCACCCCACCCCCACTGCCAATCCTCAACAGAAATGCTCACAACAATGGAAACCTCGGACAGGAGGAAGAGCGCCGCCGGGTGGGCAGGCAGGTGTCTCGCTCGGCTGTGCCTTGGGGGGCACTTTTTCAGTGCCATTGTAACTTCGAACAGTCACTAAGCGAACTGTTGTAAGTCGAGGACTACCTGTACTTCATCACTTTTTTCCTTTTTTTTTTTTTGGTCATCAAGTTTTTGACACCTTGCTAGGCGACTGGTGGTACTCGGATGTTGCCATATCCTAAAAGTTGTTACAGTGGGTGAAAAGGTTGAAAAGCCCTGCATTAGATATCCTTTCTAATAAACTAAAAAAATGAGACTCAGCAACTAAAGCACCCCTTTGCTGCTCTGCTGATAGTCCAGCCACACGCTCTTTGTCCTGGGCTTTGATTAAACTCGGATCGATTAATCGCCACCAATACGAAGAAAGAGGCATCTTGCACGTTGCTGGAAACCAACCACCGATCCAGGATTTCATACGTTGCAGGCTTCTCCAAGGCTTGGACCACCAACCAGACCACCCCAAGATGCTTGGCAAGGGCTTCAGTGCCTGGAGGAATGGAGGCGGGCATCCCCACATGTCTCCTGTGGATCTTCTCCAGGCCTGAATGGGGGAGCCGGCAGGCGGGGGAGAGGGCCCGCCATGCAATTGGCAGGCAGGTGGTGGAAGGAATTGAGCAGCGGGGCAGTCTAGCCTTCTCTGGGTCCTTCCCTGACCGCAGAGTTGCAGCTCCAGCAGGAACCCCTTTCTCTCTGTGTGTTTCCTTCTTGACCAAGGCGGCTGCCCGGCTGAGCCAGGTGCCATCCCTCCCACGCCTCTGAAGATTCACAGCTTGCTCCGCTGCCAACTGTTCCCATGGCAACGCCGGGGCCTCATCTCAATTCCTAACGAGGCTTAGCTAATTGTCAGCGCTGACTCCTCTCGCTAGCAGACCCCAAGGTAGAAGCGGCTACAGGAAGAGAGGCGTTCCAGGTGTGGCTAACGGTGGGACACTTGTGGGGATTCTGCTCACGAAATGTTGGCCTCTAGACCAGCTGACAAGCCTGTCCTGGCTCGGAACAATAGAATAACAGAATTGGAAAGGACCTTGGAGGTCATCTAGTCCAACCCCCTGCTCAGGGAGGAGACCCTATACCATTTCAGACAAATGTCTGTCCAGTCTCTTCTTAAAAACCTCCAGTGATGGAGCGCCCACAACTTCTGGAGGTAACTTCTGTTCCACTGATTAATTGCTTTGACTCTCAGGAAAGTGGGATGCTAGGATAATATTCAATATGGAACTACAGCACCTCATAAGTTATGAGACAGCCAATAAATGGAATCCAGATTTGTTTCCTTAAAAACCTCTCATAGAAGCTCATTTAGTCCACCATTAGGGAAAAAGTGGATTTGTGTCCATAATAAATTTTGAATTGCTGACTACATCCAGAGCATATTTTCACCCACCTGGGCAAAGCAACTGTCAATTTCCCCAAAGAGGAAATTATCCTCCTTGCTCCATAAATTGGAAGAAGGAATAGAAAAGACCAACAATAACAAGCCAGGGCTTGCCTGCCTACCAACATCGAAGCTGGGGACCCTGACAATCTTCTGACAGCTCCGTTCTCTGCCAGATGTTGCAAACCTGTACTGAACTTTGTATCTTATTCATGCAGGGCCAGAGTGGCTAAGTCAGGGAGGCGTAAGTAACTTGGTTAGCTAGATGGTTAATTTTATTTGGAATTTTTATGGTGTGTAACCGTGTCTTCCCTGTTTTTCTTACATGTTTTCCTACATACCTAGTCTAAACCAGGGATCTCCAAACTTGACAACTTTAAGATTGGTGGACTTGAACTCCCAGAATTCCTTAGCCAGTGTTGATCGCTGGGGAATTCTGGGAGCTGAGGTCCACCAGTCTTAAAGTTGCCAAGTTGAAGACCTCTGACCTTAAGCTTTTAAGCAAGTCTTAAAGTTGCCAAGTTTGGAGACTCTGGTCTAAACCCCATGTCTAAGTTTTATGATTCATTGTCCAGAGTCCTTCAGTATTAGGGCAGGCTAGAAATATTGCTAAAACCCAAAGTTACGCAAAGATCTGATTTCATTGGCCTGATATAGAAACACCTCACTAAAGCCATCCTCACCTGTAATGTTTATCCAGTATCCTTAATGCAAAAAGGCTGCTTAAATCCTGCATTTCTTGATTTGGGGCAAGACATTCATTCCCCCCCCCCCCTCTCCAGGGCTGGTGGAAAGAGGACCTCCTTGGCACCACAGCTCAAAGCAGCCCAGGTGGTACCAGGAGAACCATCACATTTATTTATTTTTATTTATTTATTAATTGCATTTATATCCCGCCCTTCTCCTTACGGACTCAGGGCGGCTGACAATTGAATAAAATACTAACATATATACATATACTTAATTAAAATTTGATTAAAACGAAATATTTAAACATGTCCAATTTAAAAGTAATTAAAACCCCCTTTAAAATCCCTCAGGCCAGTCCCGCTAGTTGGAACAGCCACGTCTTGAGGGCGCGGCGGAAGGAAGGGAGATCAGGGATCACCCTGATCTCTGGGGGCAGTTCGTTCCAGAGGGTGGGAGCTCCCACAGAGAAGGCCCTCCCCCTTGGGGTCGCCAGCCGGCACTGTC